GGAGACTCCGTGGCGGTGTGTAATCAAACATGGGGTCGAGCCATCATGAATGTCAGATTGCGGCAACAATGCAGGCAGTCACTCTAGTGTTGGTTACTCCAGTGCCACAGGGGGCCCACTGGCTAATCCGGATGCAGGTACACACAGCTGATCAGACTGTGCATCCACTGACTTGCCGTAGCTTCGTTGGACAGGATAGGCAAGTCAGCTCCTGTCCCCCTGCAAAACAAGGCTTCCTCGCAATGTTGATCATGTGTATCGGCAAGCTGCACTGACAGATCTGAAAAAAGCGAGGGTTGCGAGCCCCTTATCTCATGTTCGAGAGAAGTCCACACACACACACACACACGCGCACACACATCCGCGCGCGCGCCCTACTCGCATCTCGTCGCCCTTCTTAACTTCGGGCTCTTGGGGTCCAGGCTCCGGCCGCGTCAGACGGGAGGCCGGGCTCGGGCCTGCCAAGTGCGAAAGCTATGTTTTCCCGTACCACTACGAACTACTCCGTGCAACTATATCCTCGCAAGCATCACTTTCGCGTGTCCTGGTGTCCGCGCTAAGACCATTACAATGATTGGATACTGCTACAGCTGCTGCTACTCGAAAGCTCGGCCTGGGGAAGTCTCCCACCACTCCAGGACCTCCTCTGCAAGCACAGCAAGGAAACAGGAATTCTAAAGAGTTTTTGTTTTTGTCTTTTTGCACCAATTCAAAAAAACCTTTCCTGATGTAAGCTTACGGCTTCAGGTATGAAGTTTAAGACAAGCCACAAGGTCCAAGTTAACATGTGCACCGTCATGCAACCCGAACGACGTGATCGTGCAGACGTGCGGCCATCTATGGTTTGGCCGCAGGAAACCAACAAACAAACCAATTCGTAAAATCGCTTGAAAGCTGCCTCAGCCGACCCTGGCAACTTGTTGCGTTTAGACAGTCTGTCAACAAACAGAAACAACAGAAACGCAACCAACTCATTCACTACGCTTCGTATACTTTACTATCTGATCACGGCTCCGGCTACATGTTCCTAAAGCTTAGGCCACTATGTACCAGTCTCGCATCCTGCCTTAGTGGAAGGCCACTCGCCTCCAGCTGACTAAGGAGCCCGCGTCCTCCCTGTCTTTGTCTTTGAGGCTGGAGAGTGTGGTGCCAAGGGTCTCCTGCTTGCTTTTTTGTTTTGTCTTTTGGTAGGGGTATCGGGCTTCGGGGTTGGCAACGACTTAAAATAATCATGCAAGCAATCCAGCAACATCGCAGAACGGAAAACATCAATGGCACCTAGGATGGTCAACATGAAACAGGATAGAGGATGCGTCTTGACTCCTTCCTGTTTCTCCCCCTTCTTCCACACAGCCAAAGGAAAGGCGGTCGTTCTCCCCTCTCTCTTTCTATCTCCAGGGCTATGGTAAAGGGGTTTGACCCCCTCTCTCTCGCCCTCTCTGGCTTTTATTACTTCTCTCATGACCCTGCCAGTGTCTACGCAAGTAGACCGTAGGCAGCTCCATTCACCCCCGAGGAAACGCCGGTTGTGCCTGGTGTTCTTTGACTTGCTGCTGGTCCTCAAACAGGAGCTTCGGCGGTCGCATGGAGCCGAATTTCCTTGCCGTGTCTCTGCGCACCTTACGAAGCTCGGCCATCATCTCGCGCAGATTGCCCAGCTCCGCCTTGCACATTGCAGAGGCCGTAGGTTGGGAATTTGCTCTGATCTATCCCTCCATAGAGGGTCGATGATAAAGATGCAAGATGATGATGTATTTGCCACTGTTCACGTTCAGTCCAGAGGACATCACGACGCGACCCGCAAACACTGAACGCAGCTGCTCGACTCAGCCCAGCAATACACGGGGCTCGGGGCTGCCTGGAGGCGTTCGATCTCCTCCCGTCCGCCGTCCTGAGAGGTAGGCCGGCTGCACACGCATTGCCACGCAAAGACCGTGTTGGCGGCCTTCTCAGTGCTTTCATAGGCTGCCGTCCTGGCCCGCAAATGGGTGCACTTCGCTGATCCTTGAGCCTTGACCCAACGTAAGAGCTCGCAGATGGAAGTCATTCGGCTCGCCTTGCCGTCGGCAAGGAGCCGTTCCAGCCTTCGTGCCATGGGCTCCCTAGCATCGCCGGTTGGCTGCAGAGCAGTTTGTGTTCCGTGGCCTGACACGGCCGAGATGTCCGCTGTGCCGAAGCCTTGACCAGGTGAAGACAATAATGTGAGAGCATGAGACGAGGAAGCTGTTGGCTGCAAGCCCTGGGGCGGGGCCTCCTGGTTCGCTTGGATGCAGCCAGCCTGCTGGCAATATGCGTGCCCTAGTCCGGTAACCTGGTATGGGGGGGGGGGGGGGGGNNGTATTCAGCGAAAAATGGCTGGAACGCCCTGCTTTTTGACTGCTCCTCGCGAGACTCTCAGAAACACCCCAGTACCAACCCTTAGCTCTACTGATAGGCCGGAAACCTTGGACCCCGAACCCGTGCTAGAGCTGCTGGAACTTCACTGAGTGGTAAACAAATATAACATAACATCGCAAAGTAGAGTGTCGCAGATTCAGATAGACCTGTTCACCACCAAAGCGTTGCATAGACCACCAACAGCCAAACTACCCTCCGAGCTCGTAAATTTCAGCTGTGACGTTGGCATCAGGCACAGCTCAGGCGCCGTTGGTCACCAACTCGCCGCTCCCCCACGCCTGACCACGGCTCGAGGCTCCGGCTAGGAATTCTACACTGAACATAGCTGAACTATGCATGCACCCTCACGGTGGATCCCCGAAACTCTTGGGGCAACTCGAACATCCCAAACCCACCCGATAGCGCATGACGACCTGAGAGGCACGCCTTCCTCAGTGCGAGCGGGTCGAAGAAGACCGGCGCCTGTCACAATTTGCTTCGTTTCCGCACCACATGCCACCGTCCCAACAACTCCAAACATGTCCTATCTCCCCAAATCAGCGAGCCACTGCAACAATCCCAAACTCCCTGAAAACCGGCCCCTTAACCCGTCAACGCAAACTCCAAGGCCGCACCTTGCACGGGAGTCGCGGCGGTCGCGGCCGCGTCCACGCGAGTCATCGCGGTTGGAGCGGGGTTTCGGGGCACCGCACTTGCGGCACTCGGTGTTCCTGCCCAGGCCGTGTGAGCCTAATGATATCTCGTTCGCTTGCGTGGGATGCAGCTCTTCATCAACATGATGAAACTTGCCTCTCCCAAGCCCCACTCTAGCTTGGCTTTGTGGATAACTCTGGCGTGGCGAACACGGTATGTTTTCACACAGTAATTATTTCATTCCAAACGGCCTCCCTGAAATCGGCGGGAGCTGTGCAAGCATCTGCTCTGCGCGACGTTCCTGCCTTGCAAAGTTATAATCGCCACATGATGGACATTCCCAGTCTCCTGCCTCAGTGCAGAAACCGCAAGCCGGAATCAGCTACATGTTGCGAAACCCTCTGAGCCGACACTAAGGACCTCGCTCGCTGCTCAAGGGGTGGTCGATTTGGTGGCCGCCCGCCGCCACGGCCCCCACCTCCACCTCGACCTCCTGACCTTCGGAGATCTAAGGCTTTCAAGATCTTCGGTAGCTTATGAGGATAAAAAGTCTGGGGTCTCGAAGAATGTGCGCAGCTGAGCTGAGAAATTCAGTGCGCCGCCTGGATCGGCGGCGCCGGCTGCGGCTGCGCCGGCGGCTTGGCGAACGCGAGCGCTTCACCTGGAAGAGCCCAGCTCACGAAACCGAACAAAATGCCGAACAGAAGCACAACTGAAGTTGCATCCTTGATAGGTCTTGACAGTAATCTATCATGGTATGCTCGAGAGACATGCCTGCATCAGCTGCACATGCGAGCACCGAAGATCCGCCAGAGACAGAGCATTCCAAATTCTAAGTGCCACGCCAGATCTATCATTTCAACATTCACAGCCTCGCGACAAGTGACTCTACACGCCCGTATTCGGAAGGATGAGACCTCTAGCGGACTATCACAGGCACGTCTTGCCCATTGCAGATCCAGCCTGCATGCTCTTCTTGCTGCCCTGCGGCTCCTCCACTTCGAACGATATCCTCCGAAGCGAAAGATGTTGCCGCGCACTCTTGGGAATCGTCGGCCCGGCCCGGCCCGGCCTGTCTCCGCGACGCAAGCCGCGCGTCTTTGCATCGTATCGCGCATTCGTGTCCTGAGGTAAGCTGGCTACTGCACGTAGAGTTGGAGGGTTTTAGGCTGACGAATTACGACAGCATCTTGCGGCCTGCGGCTCACCCGACCAAGTCTGTTTGCCAGCTTGCAGCAGGGACTTCGAGTACCAGAGCAGCTTATGGCATGTGCATCCGTGCATCGGTGATGTACTCCGCATGAGTGAAGAGATCCTGGCCTGGGGTGGCACAAGGATCCGTCGAGGCCATGTCGGCTTCAGACAGAGGAACCTGAAGAGAAAGGACTCGGCTGGGTGCAAGCGAGCCACGGCCCGAGTCGCAGGAGACGAAGCCGAACTGGCGGTCGTTATTCCAAGTGTTGATCGTGCCCTTCTCACCTTGGCGAATTCCGTGGCAATTACAGCTCTATACTCTGTAACTCTATGACTACTCTGTGTCTTGACATATCACACCAGGCCTCCCTCAACAATACCCTGACTGAAGCCGCACTCAACAAAAGCAGCCAGAATCCCCGGACCACTGCCGCAGATCCTCAATGCTTTTGTACCGAAGCTTCTCGGAGAACGCCCGCAACCATGAACGCACTTCCGAATAAAGACACATGCACTCGATAAACAGCATGTTGCTGCAGCACCGTTGCGACATTTCTGGCAAGTTGCGCTTGCCCCCGCCCCCTCCGCGTGGTCTCGAACCGCTCCGTCCTTCCCAATCGCTCAAGTGTGACTCTCGTGCAAAGAAGTCAAGCTCCGGATGAAAGGCAACTCTCGAACAAAAAAGCTGAAACATAAATGTGCATCTGCGTGAAGATGATACATGATGGGAGTGGAGCTGTATATGCACTGTGTTTCACATCAGGCGGCTTCTTTCGAAACTTGGGCCCCGATTGAACCGAAGAGCACTCAAAAGACACCTCGCTTCGGCATGGCCTCGGCTTTGGCTGCGACTGCGGCTCCGTCCCATCGCTGCCCGAGCGGCCTGGAGTTTGCGGGTCGGAGCGATGCAACTCGATCTTGCTGAGTCCTTCGATTCACATCGCGCCACCCTCCTGCACTCCGCACCTCAGCGCTGGAGCGATAGGCCCGGAGCTGGCCGGGTTGGAAGCACTGGCTGCTAGCCTGCAAGTTGTGGAATCGACCTGACGCTGTTCGCCGGCTGTCAGGGTGAACTTGATCCTTACGTAGCCTTATACAGCCCATGTCCATCCTACAGTGTAGCCAGTGTGTAGGTTCCGGCACGCATGTCTTGGCTGAGCTTGTACATTGGGATAGCCCCTGCCCTGCCCTGCCCGGCCCTTTGGCTGGAGAGCCGAGTCCATCAACGGCGCGGTGCATGCGAGATACATTGGCACCCAAAGAAGACTCGAGCTAGCATCAAACGCATGCATCTGCGGCACCTGGCTTCAGACCACTAGAAGATACTAGGCCCTAGGCTCTGTGCTTGGATTGTATGGTGCATCTCATCCGGCCTGCTGCTGGCCCTGGCCCGGCCCCTTGCGCACTGATGGACAAGATTCGAAGACACACCCCGGACATCCTGGACCTGCCCCATGGCGTGGCCGAGCCAACGCGAAAGGGTTGAACTCCGCGGCCTGGCGGAGCCCCGGAAACATTGGCACCTCTCGAGTCCGGAAGCAGATCGCCGGAGCCCGCCTGGAGGTCAAAGCCGTGCGGAGCACAAAGCTCTACACCTCCTGGGACGAAGCTTTCCGGCTGCACGAAGAGGCCTGTCGAACTCTTTTTTCTTCGACACCCGACACACTCCGGTTTCCCCCAAAAAACCCCAACTCTTCGCCTGCCAAGGCCTGCAGCGCCGCGCGGCGCTCGGAGGACGTGTCTGCGCAGTGCCCGGTCTTCGTTATGTCCATAGTGCTTTACAGAAACTCCACTCTACTTTCCGGCAGCAAGCTGCGTCCCCTCATGTGCGAAGCCCCGAAAAGCGCACCTGCAGCCTCCGGAGAAGGCCTGAGAGACTGAGCACGGCAAGAGCAGCGTTTTTCGTGGAGTCTGCATCCCAGGTGCTCCATCCGGGAAACGCCCGAATCAGCCCAAGTTGCCGTATGGCCATTGGGGTACCTGGGAAGAGTTGCCATTCACTCAGCGTTCACGGCTTCGTGATTTGTCACACAACATAAGCACCAGGCCCTTGGGAGGTTTGTCCCAAGTCGTAGCCGTCGTGGCCGGCATAACCAGCGGTCTGCGCATCATAGCCGGCTCCACCGAAAGCTCCATCCTGGGTAGATGCTTCGCTGCACATCCGAAGCATGGCCCATGGATGCACCGAGCCATGGCCCAATCAGCAAAGGCTCAAGATGCGCTTGATTCTCCGGCGATGTCACAGGAGACGGAGAGAACGGAGAACCTGGAAGTCGCAGTGGCTGCCTACTCACCAGGACAGGCTGGTGACAGCAGCATTCCACACCTTCACCCGTGTTGAATCCAGCGTCCTTTGCAGGGTGTTGCGATCATACTCCCGTCAACTGTTGGACCGCATGCGCATGGTGTTGTGGACCTTCGACCTCTTGCCGAACCCGCACACATTCTGCAGGTGAGGTGTTGCACTCCTCGGCTGTGGAGGAAGCCAGCCGCTTCTTTCGACTCTTCTTCCTCTCCTGCTGCAATTAAAGCTGGAGCGCATTGCAACTTGCCTTTCAAGCAAAAGGTGTCCAAGACGAGTGAATCCAGTTTGTGGGATGTCTCACAGGAGCCTCGACCCTGGTCGCCACCGTCGTCTCTTGTCTTGATATGAGGAGTGCTATCGGCTTCTATGTCACAACGACCAAAATAAACCAACAACGACGAACTAAAACAAAGACATCAACGCAACGACCCGATGTCACTACATGAACTAGATTACGTCGCACATTACATTCCAGTGCCCTGAACACCACATTACACATCACATACAACACATGACAATGCAAGAAAACACCGCACAACACACATACACGCACGACGCACGCACGCACACATACACACACATACACACACACACACATGCATTCTCTCATACACACACACACACATACACACATACACACATACACATACACATATACATGGTCAGGCGCTCCGTGGGCCCATCCCCCCCGCCCCCCATGGTCCATGTTCCAGCATGCTCCTGCCGGGTTTTTTTTGAGAGCCTTTTTCCGTCTGCTGAGTCAGTAGGCGGAGAGCCCAGTTTGGGCAGGCCTAAAAGACACCTCCGAAGTTGCTTAATCTGCCTCAGTAGTGCTCTCACACGTGGCCAACATTTCGTCAAGGAGTGTGTCAGTGCATTCGTTCGCTTCCTTCATCTCACTCTGCTTGTGCTCATCAGTCCAAGCCATCAGCGAACCACCAGACATCACTACATTGCCCGGTGGGAGAATCATGTCGCGGGCAGGCAGCACGGAATGGGTCATCTATGGATGCTGTGAATTGACTTGAGGGTGAGTTTGGGCTTTAGGGCTTAAGGTTTAAACTTGTAAGGCTTCGAGTCGACAAGAGCTTAGGGAGGGTTTGGAGTGTAGGTTGGTTAGGGTGACGGTTTATGTTCTGCTTCAAGCTTAGAGCCTGCATTTAGGCGATTTAGCGTGGGGTGTAAGGTTTAAAGTATGAAGTACAGCTTGAGGTTAATCAAAAACAGGAACACGCCCTACGTTATAGGGAAGTTTATGGCTTGCGTAGGGCTTGCG